AGACCTGCCCTTCTTAAGCATCGTTTTATAGCTGCGCTTACTTCATCGCTTATAAAAGGCAACATAAACGGGATTTTGTTAAAGGCAGGGTGTTAAGGGAAACTCGTGTAACAATTGCGGAGATGAATATATTGGCGAAACGGGCAGACCTTTGTGTATCCGTATAAAAGAACACCTAGATGGCAAACGAAAACCAAGACGAAGCACCCCACTAGGCACGCATAGGATACAAAAGCATAGCGGAGACGATTTTGAAGTAAAAGTCAATATCCTTGCACAGGAGTCCAAAACACCAGCGCGAAAACTCCTAGAGGCTTTTTGGATCAATGCCAAAAACCCTACAATGAATAACAGGGACGAATGCCCGGAGGTCATACGCGACCTGATCCCGTACGTTCGCATCGATTTTTGATGTGGGATGGTGCAGTCGTCAACCACATGCGACTATAATCAGCTGTTCTAAACTTCCTCATTGGAAGTCNGAATATATTGGCGAAACGGGCAGACCTTTGTGTATCCGTATAAAAGAACACCTAGATGGCAAACGAAAACCAAGACGAAGCACCCCACTAGGCACGCATAGGATACAAAAGCATAGCGGAGACGATTTTGAAGTAAAAGTCAATATCCTTGCACAGGAGTCCAAAACACCAGCGCGAAAACTCCTAGAGGCTTTTTGGATCAATGCCAAAAACCCTACAATGAATAACAGGGACGAATGCCCGGAGGTCATACGCGACCTGATCCCGTACGTTCGCATCGATTTTTGATGTGGGATGGTGCAGTCGTCAACCACATGCGACTATAATCAGCTGTTCTAAACTTCCTCATTGGAAGTCACGAAAAAGCGGTGGGTTTTTCGAGAAGTTGTTGATATTGTAATTACCAAAGAGTCTTTCGTCTTTTTGTAAGTGTTATTGAAGCGTTTGGCCTAGTAGATTGTATATCAGCATACCCTTCCAGGCTCTGAAGAAGGCGATACTGCCGAAACGTCAGCTAGCGTTGTATTGTATTGTGTTTTTATGGAAGTAAATGTATGCTGTTTAAAAACCTCGCGATTGCTGAACAAGAAAACGACACATTCATATTCCAATGCCGAGGTTAAGAGAAAGTCGATCCTGGGAACTATTATTGACATTATTAAACGTTTCATCTTAAGTTGCATAAAAATGAGGTATACTTAGGTCCGTCGAGTCTTCTTCAATTGGTTGCTGATTTAAAGTGTCTGTTCTTTGAGGATAAGTTACTTCTAGAAGGGCAAAGATTCCTTTTTCAGCAACTAGAATGGCGACTATCAACTAACCAATAAAGGAGCGTTTAATAGGATCCAAAAACGCTGTTGACGGTAATACGGTGGATAGTGATGCCGTCAACCAGGAACCAGAGCTGCTGTTCGACCGCCGCCCCAACGCTTTCCTCCAATCCTCATGGCAATGCCTTGGCCCGACTGTTTATAAGACGGCAACGAAAATTGACTCAGTCAGCATCCTACGACATCCATAAAGAAGACGAAATCCCGAGGAATAGCCGAAACAACACACAAAATGTTCCTTCGTGGTCGATCTTTGCAAGGAAAACGAATAGAAGCCAAGAAGTGCTGGGATGCCTATACCAGACGTAGTGAGAGGGAATAGAAGGAATGCAAGGTAGATAAACGCAGAGAAAATGCTTCAAATGATTGGAGGCATGATTTTAACGCAAAAAAAACCGCAAAAACCTTCGACTCCTCAGCAGGTACTTGGATGATCGTCTCAACTTCGCAGTAACTGGAAACATTTGCAATTTTAAAATGACAAAGCAGAACACGTCGCCGATGAAACTAATCCTATATGGTTCAATGGACAAACAACAACGGGTAAAACATTCATGTACAAATATAAACAAACTTCACAGAGACAGCGAAACACAAATTCGAAGGAAAATAGTGGATAAAACGCCCATAACCATTTGCCTAGTTAGCAAGATCTGAAAATTGAGACTAATCGTAGTTGGATTCGGCTAGATGTAAACGATTCAGAAAAAATCTGAATCTAGAAAGGATTCGTGTAGGGAGCTAAAAAAAAGGGAAAACGCGTTTCATATAGAATTGCGCTCAACGGTGTAAGTTTTCGGCTAATTCAACAGTTTTTCACATAAGAAAACCACCGCTCCACATTTGAATTCCACTACGTTATCACAGAAACTCGAAGTCCGAGGCAAATCACATTATGGACACAACTAGTTGTCAGCGATTATGGGGTGAGAAAGATGATGGTTTTGTAAAAGTAGTACCTCAGTGCAAACAGAAATCTAATTGTCAGTAATCACGTGCTTGGTAAGTCTATATGAGCAATGAAAACATGCAGGATTCTAAAAATGCAGTATCGAGATAAGGAAACACGGTTCTCTAAAGGGAAATGGAACACCGTATGCCGTTGATAATGCGCCATAAATATAGTGATATGCGGAAAATGAAATGAAAGATTGTACAGAACAAGGATAGTTTATAATCGTGCAGCACCGGAAAAGGCGAGGAAAAACTGGTGAAGTCAGGATTAATTATAGGGGAATCAAAAGAGAAAACACAGAGTGAGCGCCAGGATAACAGAGCCTAGTTAACGGAAAAAGTCGTCGCTGAAAGGATCAGCGTGGTTTGCCATTACGGCCGGAGCAGGACGCATTGGCACAGAACCGAGAGCGTTCAGCGATGCCTAAAATTCATCGCCTTGACACCCAAAAGTTTTATGTAGCATGTAAAAAATTTCTATTCTGAACCAAAATATAAGGATAAAGAATTGAGCTGCAACCATTACATCAATGCACCAAACACCATCCGATAGCAAGACCTATACTCCCCATTAACAAAACGATTGTAATTTAGGATACCATCTGACCTTCGGAGGATTCAGGATGTGTTCAAATGGATTCTTCTTCGCATCATTTGCTGGCCGAGCAACAAGAGCATTCATGTCCACAAGTTTCGTAAATGCTTCCTCTAACGATGTTACTTTACGCGGCTCCTCCCAATTCACATGATTCTGAGACTGCATGCTAAACAATATCTCTTTTCCACCGTTCTTTAATACAAGAATGAGAAAAAAACTGCAGCAAAGATGAACCATACTTGTTGTCTCCAAAACAGCCACTTGACGTAAAAGAATTGGCATGTTGCATTTGTGGCATAGCGTTCTCTTTAGTTCCCCAATCATTCGAGCGAATAGATTGAATGTTTGGATGTACTTGTAAGACATTGCGAGTATCGAAAGGATCACGAGTTGGAACTTGCTGGGTAGCGGTAATAGCAGAAGCGAATGGATTAGTATCCTGAGAAACACATGCTAATGTTTCCAAATACTACTTCGGTATCAAATGAGAGATCATTCGAAGTTGGAATTCCAATGATGGTCAAAAGAAAACAACTATGAACCAATACGTAGAAAAACTTGCAGAAAATCCACTAGAATTAAAAGATGGTATGCTCTGGGTGTGTTGCATATGTGGAGCATTCCAAGCACCAGTAAACGTAGCGACTGGCGGTATGGGTAACTGAAAAGGAAAACATGAAAAAGATGCACAGCAACAAGGCTAACACCTAACTGGTACGCATCTAATCCAACATAACAATAATAAACCGTGTAAGAAAAAATAACAACAAATATTAGTTGAAACAACTTTGACTTGTGGAGTCGGTTGGGCAATTTGTGGAGCAACTGTTGGTTGCTGTGGCCAAGCGTTAGTTTGGGGTCGAGACGTCAAAGTCGACTGAATCTGTAGTGGATTATGAGAAGAATCGTTCAGAGAGTTATTCACATTGGTTCCGCTCAACGGTGATGCCTAAATGAATATTAGTATAGCTCACCATAATGTGATGATAAACCAATACTTCAGTCAATTCAATAATTCATTAGATCATTGGTTCTGCAAAGTCGAAAATAACTAAGAACCCATGAATATGTATTTCAGGGCGCCTATAACCACCTCATAAAATTTAATTACATTATAAGTAATCAATTCACATAGTGCCTAATGTATTCAAATGTCGTTCTAAAGGCAACAACTGTGTTTTATCACATGATCAACGGCAACTCACATTGCCCGCAAAGTTATCTTGAAAAGGATCAGCAAATGGTGTTGCACCGAAAGCGTCCGTAAACGTTGGTATTTGTTCTAACTGGTGTAAGCCCTGCTCAATTTGTTGAACTTCTGTCTCTAAATCCAACAAATCAGCCACAGCAACACCATCATCAGCTTTAGCTGTTTCCTGTAACAAAAAACAGAATAAAACATCAGCCTCTCAAAAATCTTCCCTGTACACTACGAAACTAAAATTACCAATTCACAGTTCCTGCCTCAAAACTTGTCAAGTTGCTCACTCTTGGCCTATTTTCTCTTTTTCACAGGCACAAAAGTATTTTTATTCCCAAAGAAAGCCAATACAACGGATAGCCGGAAGATAAAAAAAAAGGCTAGATTCTCGATGGAAACGATGTTCCGCAATAAGACATCCTGCCTTTTTTAAGCGCTATTACATGGATAAAGAAAACTCCGAAGTTTAAGTATTAAATAAGATATTGATATGTTTTTTCCGTTCAAATGAAAACGATCGATCACTCGATTTGTGAGAATTGGTGTGATGATATGAAAAACTACCAATCCCTGTTTTTGCAGTCCAAAAACTCAAGCAAATGGGGGAGGTATGGGCAACTCTATCCCATTAATGATCGATCAAAACTAGCAGATGATGAGAAAAACTGGATTGCCTGCCGTTCTAAACAGCAGTCCCATGAGAGAAAGTGGAAATCTGTCATAAAGATAACAGAATCGTTGTCTTAAAAGGTCTTATAGTGGTGTCGTTTCTTACCGGAAAAACAATGTGGTTTCAATGCTCAATTTTTTCTTTACTGCCTACTACTTCTTCTTTGCAAGGTATTCTGTGAAATTGGACCAATGATTCTGAGATATTTGCAAAACTCGGGCCTCAGGTCAGATTCGAAACCGTGATTACCATAACCGAGCTCTTAGGTATTAACCACTGCACCACCGAGATCCTCGCTTTGCCCTCGCAATTCCATTGTACCCATGGCTTAACAAATCGCCAATAAAACAGCAAAATATCACATATGGTTTAAACAGCAAGATATGCACTGTATTCTCATGAATGTGAACCTGTCGTATCTTAGCCACGACAGACAACTCGAAAACAGCTCCAGATAAGTTCTCATTCAAAAACGGTGAAAAATAAAAAGATAGTAGACATACACAACGTGAATCTGCTGCTTGTGCTAAGACACAAGTTCTATATTGTACTATACCAACAGAAAATTTTTCACATCCTAATACTTAAAACATTCAGAAATGTGGCAGAGAAAATAGATGGTGTAATTTCTCCTTTGCAAGTACATATAGAAATAAACAAACAATAACCTTTCTCTCCTCCTGTTGTTGCTTCATTTGTTCTATATGCTTCTTTTTCATTTCAAAAACGACCTAAAGGAAACTGCATGAAGAAGCGGTAAGTTTGGAAGCAGCGACAAGTGAAAAGCTACCTGGAACATGTCCCGTATTGCAAGAACAGCATGATCGGCAGTTTGTGCTGTTTTGATGCCATAGAATTTGTACTTGTCTAAAATCGCTATCTTTTCCAGAGACACATGAGGATCACGATTTAAAAAAAAAATAGATAAATCTGTTATTTACAAACATTTGAGTACTGAAACATACTATCAGGTTGACCGAAAACTATTCCAAAAGCTCTCGCATCTGTGGTATCTCGAGCGATAAAAGACACTCTCGAAACTGGAAAATTATGCAGCACAGCCTGCAAGTACAGAGGAATTTCCAAAAAGAAAAACAACAGAAAATATTGCAAATTTATTTCAAGCTAAGACTGTCACAGGTATCAAATAATATTTATAATCTAACTGCAAACGAATAATATAAATCTATATAGGGTCTATATTACATCGGACTTGCCCTTTATCTCCAGATATATACTTTCAAAACCTCGACACTATTGAACAAACCCTAAGAAGCTATGCGAGCAGCAGTAACAATTTTCACACCTCTATTTCACTAGACTATTACGTTTAACCTCCTAACGGTTTACCGCCTCATGGCCGGCAGGTGTCCCAGGATGTAGGGCTGCGATGCACAGCGAGAAGATTCATCCCCTCAACAGGGTCTCCCAAGCTTAAAAGTCCAGCGATTCTATCAGGAAACCCAGTTAAGAGTAAACCAATACCAGGATCCACCAGCGTCCTGGTAACAAACTAGTCGCATGGTGGCAAATTTCCTCTGAACCACAAATGCGGACACTGCCTGACTACGGTGGTGACGACATGAGACGGACTTTGGCTGGACTGACCTCAGGACTCCAGGTAACCACGATGGGTAAACCAGGAAAACTCGGAGAAATTGGAGATTATGCTGGGATCCGCACAACTAGTGAGGACGGGTCATTCAAGTACCTAAGTAAGTATTACGTTTAGGAGGCGCGTGAAGCGGGGTGGTTGGAGCCGCCTTGCAATAAACATGGGATCAACTCCGCACACTAGGCCCACAAAACCTTCCATCCCTCCGGGGTCGGCAAGTTGGTACCAGACCTGTCTGGGAGGATAGCAGCACTGGCTCGATACATCGATAGGCCACGGCGAGTCATTGCAAAGGTCAGACATGCATTCAATCACTTCCAACGATGCTTGATGAAGTCGAATGCATGACGCATCCTTCAGGGGTTGATCAACGCCGACATCCTTATTCTTAGCTGCTCTAATATTCCAATTAGAATAATGTGATAACTAAAATCTTCACTTCTTCTGAACAACTACTATAGTCGAGACGTACCAAACACTACTTTACAAGTCAGTTCTTTAAGTTAAATCATTTCTAAATGAGATCACATCACAGAGCATAAGCTCTTTCACGTAGTTTTAAGAACAACGCGCTAGCAATAGCCAACAAATAGAGAAAAAAGATGCATGGCTCACATTGCTCTTCTCATCAACGATTTTGATGCCGTCGATGTTTATTTGCAGGACGATTCGAGTTTTATGTGCGCCAGCAGCTTTCACGGCTTGCTTTGCTGCTCGCATTGCATCCGCACACATCAGATCACCTCGGGCGCTATCCACATCACGCTCACCGATCAATTTTCCCTTGAGAACAACCCACATAGAAATTATAGAAACATCAACGATAAGATGTATCTAGTAGCCAACCTTATATGTAACGCCATTGCCTTGAAACCGAAAAGGATCTGACGCGGTGTTCGCTGAAAACAGTTGCGTAAACAGAACAATCTGGTTTCACTCAATCACACTATGTGGTGATCTAGTTCTTCTATTGGATTTAAAATATGACTACGCATAATCAGATAAAGTAGTATTTACGCTCTGAGGGTTTATCTCTGTCCAAACACTAAAACCTTTCAATGCGAATGCGTCATATAAACAATGCCTCATAAATTCACCAAAGACACTGAAGCAGAACGATCACGTGAAAAATAGAGAATATTTAATCACAGTAACAACAAAAACTTCAAAAATAAATCACATATGAGCAGTACAAACCATGAAGAAGTAGAAAATCTATCAGACCTCCCAAAAAAGGTTTTCACCTCTGCCAAGAGCCTATCATTCTGTAAAATGAACTCTCACACGTTAGGGCATCTTCTATGGACTTCAACGCTCTAAGCACGCAGAAGGAGAAGAGAAACACTCAACCAATTAATTATAGCATCACAAAAAAGACATACGCTTTTTGCTACGTCTCAGCACTGCTAGGCGACTTTTTGGTGAGGGAGGATTTTTCGGCTGATCATCAACTGTAGGCTCGTTCTCGAGTTTTTGTACCATTGCCTAAAGTAAAGTGAAGAACGATCAAAATAGTCACTAGATGAATACTATTCGTTATTTACACGAGTAAAATCGCGTAACATGGGAAAGAGAGGACACGTCGGCGAGAAACGATGATGATGGTGACTTCAGAGAACAAACAGCGACGAGAGCAAAGAGAACGGTAATCAGAAAAGCTATCAGTGAATTTTCAAATAATAGAGGAAAGCCTTAGGCATTCTTAATAAGTATTCGACAGTATTCAAACAAGTTATGAGACTAGAGACTTTGCTTGTACAGACCAAACCCCGACCACTCGCCATGCCGTGCATTTGAAATCCCGCCCAGTACCGGGGAAGGAGATCACAAAACCACCATGAACACATAATGAACTTAACCGCTTAGAGATATTTACTCCTTAAAAATTAGCTAGTCCTTCAAGTAAGACAGCTGGAGAGAAAAGGACAAAACCTTTGAAGTCGATAAATCCATGAAGAGTATGCCACACACTCAACTTCTATAACGTATATCGTATCATCGCAGAGATGAGTGAACGCGTATTTGGTCTATACTATGACTTACGGTGGCCTATCGATGCACGAATTCGCTGCTTTCACCCTCCCAAACAATTCCAGTATAAATTTGCCAACGGCGGATAGAAGGAGGGTTTGCTTTGCCTGCGATATGGGTCGAACAGAACGACTATCTGTGAATTAAAGGCCACTCCTGACTCCTGCGCTATACTCTAAAGTACTTACTTGGATACTTGGATGGCCCGTCCTCACTGGTTGTGCGGAACCCAGCGTAGTCTCCATTTTTTCGGAGATTTGCTGACTTAGTCACTGTCGTTCCTTGGAATCCCGAGGTGAACCTGACTAGTGAGCCCCAGGTCGTCACCACCGCAGGCAGCACGCCGCCTTTATGGATCAGAGGTGCCACCATGCGACTAGTTCCATACGACGGTGGTGGATCCTAGTATAGGTTTACTCTCAATAAGGATTCCTGATGGAAACATCGGACTTCTCAGCTTGGGAGACCCTACCAGGGGATGAATCCCCCGCTGTACATCGCAGCCCGGCACCCAGGAACACCTCCCAGCCATAATGGAACGGTAAATCGTTAGGAGGACACTCTCCATTAGTTAGACAAAGTCTAAATTTCGAGGTAAAACTCAGCGTACTGGTAATCATAAGAGCACAGACTTCCTTGTTTTCCCTTCTTTCGAATGAAGTTATAACATATCGTCATCAATCAATATCTAGTTATGACACCTCTTCGTTAATCAATATCTGGCTTACTTTTACCCAATAATTGAGAATATTTGTACAAGTCAAATATATGTTTCCATCTGAGAGACATATCGATTCTAGGTGTTGAATATTAATTTTAGAATTACATTAGAATTAGAATTAGTCACCAAACCTGCGAATAACGTGACCACTGTTAGGATAACTTCGAATAACTGAACTTGAAGTAGTTTCAGGTATTCACAGTTACCGCCCATGTATTACTCTGCGGCTGCTATCCATCAACTAACTTAAATACAACAAATAAACGGTAGGTGTTTAAATGAAGCTGTTTCTTATGCGAATACAAATTTATTTGCTAAGTTCTATCTGCTAGGGTTATGAAAGTGTTTGGCTGGGTAGATCGCATCTCAATATGACCTTTCCAGGCTCTGAAGAAGGCGAAACCACCGAAACGTCAGCAATCTGTTTAAATCTACTTCTCTTTTTTACTGAGAGTAGCGATTTGCAAAATTAAAAGGCGCGCCAGAAATAATGGCACAGATTCAAGAAATGAACTCCTGCTTCCCCCTTATAATCGTACATGAATTTTTCAGGGGGCTCTTCAGCTCTCAAACAAGATACCTTCACCTTTACAGTTCTTTGTTTCCCTTGTAAGCTGTCACCAAGTGTAAGAACTGTGACCGTTAAGCAGTTCTGTCGATCGTATTCACAACTGTATTGTCTGTAAAATCAAAAAAGAAAAAAGATAAAGAGACTTAGTTTTGCGAGTTTTTGTAGATATGAATATTGTCATAATGGAAGTTGAAAGATTGCCATAAAAAACCTTTAACTTTATCTCCACACGAAGACTCCACATCGAGAAGAGGAACAGGTGTGGACCATCGACAAGGATCGTCGGCTCTGATGAAGACGAAGACGTCGAAACGTTAGCCGAATAAACATCTCTACAAGCTCTTGTAAGCTCAACAATATAAACATATGTTGATTATTTTATTACTGATGTTTAATGACGGTCGGTTTCAAAAGTATTGTTTTGCTAATTTCTATCACACAGTTAAGAGTTTTGAACATTTGTGGTGAATACTATAGGACCCTTTGCTACGACTATCTCGAAATTCCAGCAGAAATCACTCGGCAAGAATTCAGTCTGTCAGTGAAGAAAAATAACGGATTCTCAAGTGAATCCGAACTCATGGACGAATGCAACCATCACTACAGACGTTGTTGCAGCAGAACCAAATTGATGGAAGGACTGACTAGAAGTGGTAGGTCAAACGTACCAAACAATTTCACGTTCGTAGGCAGAATCCATCGACAATTTACCTTATTTCCACACAGAAAAACAAGTTACCGTAACATTTCAGGTAATAATACGACTCAGCAACACATGTACCACGGCATAAAGCAAAATAAAATTGCAAAAAAGGTGTACGTAGCACATTAAACCTTCACCAGAAGCCTAAGCAACTTAAAATTCCAGTTACAGAGCTCCAAGTGGATTTGAGCTTACATAAGTATTTTAAAACGGCCATACAATCATTGAGATACATTTGGCTTATGTTACGAACTGTGAAGAGAGCAGGTTAACGATGTCTTCAGTTAGAAAAGAAAAGCCAGAGAGCGTAAGAAAACTAGTCCTGGCTGAAGACCACCGGCATCGAACGACCTGGTCTTAGCATGAATGAAAGATGAATGGAAAGCATGACGGCGATAAATGAGGAGGATAACGATAAGACGTCTTAAAAAGAGAAAAACGTCAAAAGAACCGGAACAAATATGCCAGAGAGAGATGATGAATTATGAAAATGAACACAGGAGACCTCAAACGACGGTCGACGTCACAGTGTTTTGTTCACCATACTGTAATATTCGACCAGTTGTCGGTTTTTTCACCTCCGACATGAAAACAAAATGACGATCAGAACAGTTTTCCTGTGTCGTTTACACGATTATTATTATTATTATTATTGTTATTATTATTATTATTATTATTCTGTTGCTTTCCCTTATTGGAACGAGTTAGATCATTGAATACTTCTATGATTGGTTACGGGTGTGATGATGACACCTTCTCACTCATTAGTGGGTGAGCAAGCACGATGGTAAAAAAAAAATACTTGCATATTTGAAGAAAAATCGTGTATCTAAAGAAACTGGATGAATGGGAGGGCAAGTCGTACGATAACAGTTGATAACAATGGGTGTCGTTACTCGACAGCTCTAAAGTTTTAAACTTTGTTCAGGTTTTATGCGAATCTCGAACGAGATAGCCTCTCTGAGACAGTCTTCAAAAACTTTCTAATTTGAAACGATTAGTAGAACTGGATAACAACTACTTAGCTAAATATTCAAACTTAAGTTAAACTAGGTATAGCCTACCTCGACCAGAGGGTTGATTAATCACAAGGACCGCTGTCGTCCAAAAAGGAACTTAGATATCTCTTATTTGTTCGGTTATTGTTTGGAATAAAAATGTAAAACTCCTTACTTTCTCAGGATGCTAGGACCTCATTTGACCAGCACGACGTGTCAATGAGGACATCAGTCCATTTATCAAGACGCAACCAAACTAGCACAAAAACCGGATCACTTCGATGGGTATGAGAAGCGAGCAGAACGGCTAAACGACAATGAATTTCTACTTAAGTCCTAGCATCCTGAGATTCGCACAAGATATGGGGACCCTGTTATCTAGTTATCTACAGAAGAATAATTCTATACAAAACTACCGACAGCAAAACCAGACTGCCTTAAATTCACACTCGTTACGGTCTCGCATTACACGTGCAAAATTCAACTTAGAATAGCCGTTATTTAACGTTTCCTTTTTAAGAAATCCAGCTGACATTTCACAGACGATGACTGCTTTGTGGAGATGACGATACGCCGTATCCTTCCCTTGATAATAATTTTAGAACTCTCCAACTTCTTCGCTGTTCTTCATCATGTTTTAATACTATTCAAACTTCAATGATGCTGAGATTTTTGCAAAACTCCGGACCGCTTTTCGTTGCCGATTTGGGCTAGCCAGATCAATCCCGCTAACAGGTGATTGCTGATTGTAAAAGATCGATAGAACTAACTGAGAGA